TCCATGCCAGAAGAGTATTCCTGGTTGGAGAAAACAGAGTCCTGGGAGGACAGCTGGTCTCTGATCAGTAGTTGTTGGGCAAGTCATTTAATCTCATTGTGACTGATTTGAAAAATAGGGGAATAATGTCGTTTCTGTTCTAACAAAGGTTATAAGCTTAAGTTTGGTAATGTATGTGGAGCTGCTCTGAAAATCACTGTAGGGTGTCGCTGGTTGTAAACATGTGACAATTTAGAGTAGAAGAGTAGAGGCTTCTGGTTTGACCGTCTATTCAGTTCCTGTCCAACGCTTGGTAAACAGGCATTTGATAATTAGTGTTGAATAAGAGAATATTCATGTACACATATATTTAGGAAACCATTAAGTGTTAAAACTATTGATGATCCTGAATTATAAAAGTATATTTAAGGAACTAGTTAATAACTCCAGCTATTGATATGTAAATAAAATTAATCCTTATATCTATCCAATTGTCAATATAGTTAAAAAACTAAAGTCGAAGAAACCATACTCTTTGCCCATGCAGATACAGAAAGGTCGTTTCTTCAGAGCTGCTGGCATCACCTTGTTTACCTTTTTTCCTACTTTCAACCCTCACTCACTTAAATTCATCACTTGTAACAACCTAGTTTTAAAGGGGAACTTATCTGAATGTAGACCATTCTCTATACAGGATATTTTCTCTTAGTTGTGAGGCTGAGAAAATTTAGGACTTGTTCTGAGAATTGGGATTTAATAATGAAGCTTTAAGTTCAGGGAATATTTATCTAGCAAATAGCAGTAGGAGTGGAACCTGCTTCTGGTTTCTATGATCCTGGATAAGCTGTACTTAACTAGGGGGACACACACACTCCATCCCATTTCAGAGTTTCAGGTGGAAGAGCTCTGAAGGGAGCCTTTCAGGTGGAGATAGTGGAATGGTACGAAAACTTTTCCCTAATACATTGTCTCGTTCACTTTTCCTTTGGATTATTCAGTTTGGAGTTCTGTTTTTTGTTTTGTTTTTGTTTTTTAAACTTAGGCCCAAGCAATAGACTTCCCGTGTCCTCTGAGATAGGATCCATTTTCAATAGTAAAGTTAAAGAGAAACTGTTACTAGAGAACATATAGAGAACATAAAATGTTCGCAGTTAGTCTTTGGTAACTGGACCGGAACCAGTGTCCCTAGCGCGGCTTCTCACATCTGTTCGCGCTGAGGAGGGCCCGCCTTATTCTCTACCACCTGTGACCTTTCCCCTCTCTTTGAAACTTCCAGAGCAGGGTTCCCAGACCCCCTTTGGGTCCTCTCTTTTGTAGTCTGTAGATCTTCCAAAGGAAATGGGCAAGGCTGTGACATGGACACAATGTAGATTTCACCTTTTAGGGGTGGGTATCTCCACTCCCCCAGCAAGGAGCCTATTTACTATGATCCATCCTTAACATCAACCACTCTAACACCTGCATCAAATCACACACACAAGCTCCTTTTTTCAAACTGATAGGAGATGACAAAGAACTTACCGTTATATAGAAAAATCTGTTTTGGTCAAAAAAAATCCAAAGTTTTTTTTCTTTCTCTGGATTGGAGGGGGTTGGAACAGATTTATCTGTGCTCTACATTTGCAAGATGGCAGTACTGTGGCTTTCAGAAGACAACGGGACACAGATGCAGGAGCGGGTTTTGTGAGTCTTGTTTATGGGAAAGGATGTATTCAAGAGGCTATCAAGAGAACTGACCTTCAAATGTCCCAGGAGAGAATCTCGTCCTATCCAGCACCAAGCAGGCATGCGACGGGTTGACTGGACTGTGTCAACCCCCTACCCAGGGCTGTCCTTCTTCAGGAAAACACTACACAACGCTGAGAACTCGTAATCTCAGCCCAGGATCTTTTCTATATTATTGATATTCTTATTTTGAAATTCAAAAGTGATACTAAATCTGCCTTTGGCTATAGGGCAATGTAAATATAATAGGGTTATTCTCATGTTTGAAAGGAAAATCTACCTTCACTTTATGTTGCTGCAGGATCTCCAGCAAGTATAGTAAAAAAAAGTCTGTCGCAAGTGTATTGGATGTTTCAGTTTGCCAGACCTGTCATGATAAATTAATTACAGGATGTTGCAGAAATGGCAAAGCTCCAGAAGCATCTTGCATAGTTTAATATAGCCCCATTTCCCCATTTCAATGTATTTGTGGTTAGATAAATCCTCAGAAATTTACAGCTGCTATAGACTAGTTTATTATGTACTCTGCCTGCACACATGATAAGTATAATAAGAATTTGATGTTCTTAAAGCGCATAGATTTTACTGACATTTCTTTACCACGATGGAAATATTTAGTTGCTAAAAGTAGCATCTACAGATACTTCTGAACATGAACTTCTGTGTGACAAGCAGGGATGGTGAAAAACATTACCCTGTTTAGCCTTCTTCCATTTACTTTAAGTTGGAGAACTGCAGCTCAGAGAAAAATTACATGGAACGTTTATATAAATGGCCCCGCGAACAAATAGAAAAAAAATTACTACTGATTTTCAGTTGAAAACACTGAAAAAACGAACTGAAGCTACCACACTTTTCTCCAGGGAAACTTCTTCCTTTGGTCTCATGACTGTTTTTCGCAAGCTTCAGTTGTTCATTTTTGCTCTGGCAACAAGATTATTTTCTTCATCTTCTTTTTTTTTTTTTCTTTTTGGACTCTTTTAAAAAAAAAAAATCTTCATTAAGCAAATCATCTCCATTCCAAGTAATTTTTAATGATTGATAATGTTTATTTAGATAAATGTTGTAGAACAAATCATTCCTACATTTTCCGCTACCATATTCTTTCACAATTCTTGAAAAGATCAAGTGATAACTTAAGAAATGAACTACAATAGATTAAGTAAAAATCAGATTGTTCAGCACTTTTAGAAATGACATAAGTAGAGATAGTTGGACAATTCTGACATAGTAATAGAGGTGGAACATGTATAGTTATAGATTTTTTTTTTTTAGATTGAGAGTAGAAATTAAAATTGTAGATTCTTAGCACTATCTTCCCTAACTTTTAGAGAAAATAAAAAATAGCCTATCCATAATCAGGCTGAATTTGAGGTGTCAGAAGAACAATTTCAGAAAACAGGGTACTCATAACATAGGCTTGATGTAGATTTGGAGAGGATCATTAGGAAAAAAAGCACTCTTTGTGTTTACGAAACAAATGTTTTTATACTATCTAGTTCCTGCCTTAACTTTAAGTATTTCCTATTCTCTATAATAATTGGAGCAGAAGTATAGGATGAATGAAATGCCTCATTACCAAGTTTGCTTTCCGGGTCTAGCTGTCTGCTTTTGCCTGCTCGGTCCATTGTTAACCCTAAATGATGCTGACATCCAATTCTCCTGCAGATAATTGGGTCCATCCATAGACTGAGTTTGCCAGTCAACAGAGCCTTTTGATTGATGTGAGTCTTGATGTTTTTATTATCTCTTATATGACTGGAATGGCACCTTGGTTGCTTGTTGAATAATATGCTACTATATATGTATTAGTTTGATTCCACAGACTCTATTTCTTAAGAAAATGTAAGAACTATAGTATGGAGTCAAGATTTATCAAAAGTAATTATGGATAAACAAATAATCAGTTAAGAATTTTCAATTTTTATTCAGATGTATTTCATTTTATTTAGGTCACTGTTGCACTAAAGACATAGTAGATGTTTCTAGTACCTGACCGTGGTTGTTAGGCAGTTACTCCTGCATGTGCTGGCGTATCTGGTCATAATCATTTTCTTGATTACTTTACATAGCAACTGAGATCCAGCACTTAACAGACCTCCCAGTGGAAGAGTCTGACAAACCTCCAGTAAACATCGGTGCTGAGATCAGCCAGCACTGGTGTTTACTGGCCATGTGCACTTGGACAAGTTCCTTAGCCTTAAAAGTCTTGGTTCCTTATTTGCAGTGCAGAAAAGATTTTATCTACCTCATGGGTTTGATGTGAAGAGTAAATGAGATCACGTACATACGCTGAAGATTTGGGGAATATTTTCTGTAGTGAAGTTCAATGAAGTAGAAGTCAACAAATATATATAGTTTTAAAAAGTTGGGCTGTTAAAAATGTTCCCATAATTTATTTAACAGATATGGCCCTCAGATGGAAATAATTTAAATATTTATAAAAGTGTAAGTTCAAAAATTTTTGTTATACTTGCTAGAATTTTATAACCCTCTTAAAAATACTTGTGAGTTAAACAAACAACTAAAGTGACCTGTCATATAAAGCTATAAAACAGTAAGTTATTCCCCAGATAAAATTTTGCTGAACTTCTTACGGAGAAAATGTCTATAGCTTAAAAATAAAATTAGGGTCAAGGATTTGCTTTTATGGAAACAAATCTTACAAAAGATTTAAAAAGCACCAACTGTTAATATTTCATGCTTTAATTCTTTTAAAAGCTTACTCTTTATTATAGTTTTGCAAATCCTAGTCATTGACTGTTTTGATACCAAAGAATCTTTAATCATCAAAATAGAATAGAATCAATAACTGGGAAATAAATTTCTAAGAATGGTTTAAAACATTATTTAGATTTAGAAAAAGAGTGTCAAAATGTTACTTGTTTGGAGAAAAAAAGACATAAAAACTGGAATAAAATTCAATAACTTCAGAAGGAAGATGAAACAAAAGAACTAATTTTTTACTAAGAAAATGTATGGCTATCATAAATTCTTTTTTTTAAGATTTTATTTATTTATTTTTAGAGAGGGGAAGGGAGGGAGAAAGAGGGGGAACATCAGTGTAAGGCTGCTTCTCGAACGCCCCCTACTGGGGATCTGGCCTGCAACCCAGGCATGTGCCCTGACTGGGACTCGAACCAGCAACCCTTTGGTTCGCAGGCCGGCACTCAATCCACTGAGCCACACCAGCCAGAGCTGGCTATCATAAATCTTCAAACGGATTCTTTTGTCTGATTTCTTCTGCTTGATTATAATTGGGAATTATTTGCAGGGCATTTTTATGATCTTCCCCGTCCAAACTCATCTCAGAGAATGTGGTATAAGGTGTTTTATTAATTTATTTGTGAACATAACCCAGTCTTTCTTTGTCAATGACAATGGGCTTTGAGTGAAACCAACTTTTCCTGCTGTTTGCCACACTTGTTATTTTCGTCTTCAGGAGTCGCAATATAAAAATAACCCATTATTTTTCATATGAACATTGAGATCTCAGCATATGTTTAGCTCTCCCAACATATTATTTTACTTGTCATGATTTAAAATTTTCTGCAATGCGTTGAAATTCTTTGTGATTAAAACCAAAATAAGAGAATCAACACAAGTCTCAAAACCATGAGCTGAAACCACAGAGAGATGCATACTTTTATTTAATTATCGAGAGCAGTCACAAGACAGGAAAAACACAGCTTGTACAAGGGTGACTCAAGCTGGCTGGGCCTTTCTGTACCTGAAGCACAGACAGACACGTGCGCCCAGAACAATGAGAACTCACTGCTGTCAGAACGGACGTGGGTGCTGGTGCCCGAGGGCCCCCACAGTCATTGCTGCCACTCACCACTTTCAAAAACGTCCCCTCCTTTTTGTTTTATACAGCAGAGGCCTGTTTACTAATTTTCATGCATCTACAACATGTGCAGGGATAAGAGCCAAATATATTTTTACTAGAAGATATTTCACAGTGGGTGTACATCTGGACAAAATTCACACCTCAGTGCCCAGCACTGCCTTTCTCACTTCTTATTTTAATGGAATCAATTGTCTAATTTGGTATATAAGTTTTCTAATTTTATATTAGTTTTGAGCTTTTGAGGTTAAATATTTCATTGACAGACTTATAATCGCATAGTTGAGAAATAAGAAGAGTCAAGAAAAATGAAATAAACTTTCCTGTTATAACATCACATTTCAAAATACAGTCACATAGTAGTGACAATAATTATTCTAAAATTAAAAAAATTAAATAATGCAATGTGACCATTTAAAACAAATATTGAGACTAAAATAAATATTAAACATTGTTCATCTAGAAGTTACTTATATGCTTAAACATGAAATGCTCTTTTAGAAAAGTAATTTGGAACACTGCTGCTAGTCCAGCCGAAAGACATTTTAAGTTTATCTGTATTAAGTTATATATATGATTCATTCAAAACAAATTTGTTCCCTTTTAATGTCTTTCTTACTCTGAACCATTCTGAATACACAATATTTTGAAACTGCTTATATTTTAAATAGAGTTACATCACAAAAGCAGATACTTCATATTTTGAGCATAGCATCACACCTATACCCACATTACAGATATAATATTAAATAATTACCTAATGAACTAACAACACAAACACTTTTTCTTCACATTTGCTGATTAGCAATTACGGTTTTCACTTTATTGGTTTTGAAAAATGGTAACGTAACTTTGATGCAATTACTAATGAATTAAGCACTGATACTTTGATCAACAACAATCACAATGGTTTTTAACAATTAGGCTCAAAAGGCCACAACTATTTTTCCAAGCATACCACCTTGCTTCTGATTTTCCTAGATTCCTTCATAAGGACAAGAATAGTAAGTCCTTCCTTTCTTCCTTAGTGTCTGAATATTCTGAACTCTGATGAGAAATGCCATTCATTTAATTTGTCATTTCATTTCTGTGTATTTGGTTCTTTGTCTCTTCATTCTTCTTCAGCTCTTTACTAGAAGAAAAATACACAAAATGTACTAAATTAACTGAATGTCTTTTGGCCACACTCAAATCTTGGCATGACCAGGCATGGTGGCACAGGTAATAGAACATGCTGTGCAATGCACACACACATACAACCACCAAAACATTAATTACAATACCTATCTTCTAGTGTGTCTTATGAAAATACTGTTAATATCTTTTAGTACCATCAGCAGTTGCTTAAAGCCTGCTCCAGCACTGGCAAGTTAATATAAACAAAACAAAAGAAACAAACAAACAATAAAATACTTCTCAAATGCAGACACTAAGTACTCCAAGCACTGGATAACTCCCAGAAATTAAGTGCAGGCAATAAGAGTTTATAAAATCCTTCATTCATTGGAAATAAAAATTGTCATGGATCATGCTTCAGAGTTAGTGACTGGAAAATATGTAGTCCATTTTATTAAACAGTATTCTTTCCTTTAGTAACTGGCTGTGTCTAGTTTTACAAGTGGGTAAACTACTATATATTTTTTCAAATAAACCCCCAAAAATGTTGTGTGTCATTTTTGGTGGGCAAAGACAATAACGGTTAATTATGTATTTAGATGCAGCTTTGAAATGAAACAAATTATACCATTAATGAAAACTACCGATGAAGAAAAAAATGTCTCTTAAAGACCAAGTAGCAATTATACTGCACCTGAGGGTGATAGATAAACAAGTGTGGCTGAACCTGAAATTTTTAATACAATTATTCATATACTACTCATGAATAAAAGTATTTGGACTTACACAAAAATGTTGTCTTTTCCCTAAACAGAAAAGCTTAACATTTGGTTGCTCTTCAAAAACAACCTGCAGCCTAAGAATGGCGGCATTCTAGGTAAGGTGGTGGTCAACTCCAGTGATCACCCCCCAAGGGAAGTACAGGTTAGCACGTTATGGCAAGAAAGGGCAGGCTAGCTATTTCCCAAGGGCCTTCTCTGGTGGCCCAGGAGGGTTAGGGAACATCTGTGCCCTTAGGGACAGGCCCAATCTTAAGGAAATGATTGCACTATCTTTTCATATGAAAAACATTTACACATGAGGGGGAAAAAATCCTCTGTTAGTCGGTGTTTCCTGACTTTAAATTTGTTAAACAGAGCTATCACAGATAAGCTGGTATGATATAGAGAAGCCTGAAAATGTTTTAAGTGAAGCTCACAAAAGCAACTGGAGTATAAAAGGGTACAGGCATGGTGTGCCAAGGTACAATCTCACAGGAGAAAAAAAAAGCATTAGTTTTGTTCCTGTGTGGGTACAGGTCAAGTACATAAGACGTGTGGCAAATTAGGTCTGATAAAAGTGGGAGAGTAGTAAAGGTTCCAATGGATGCTGGGCACAAGTCACCCAGATCTCTTTCAAACATGTGAAAGGGATAATGAGGATGGTAACAGGCTCTCGGAGGGCTAATGAGGCACAAAAAAAGGAGAGGAAGTTTATGACCGTGGTAGGACAGAGTTGAAGAAGGAAAACAGAAAAGAGAGGGGAGGGAGGACAGTGGGAAACAACAGAAGGAGTCCTGAGCATGCGGAAGATGTGGACAAGGTAAATTAACCAGGTGGAGACTGCCCTGGGCGCGGTCAGTGAATAGAGAAGCCAGGAGGACCCGCAGGAGAGAGACCCAAGAGAAGTCTAACTAGAAAAAGCTGAAGTAGGCAGTAAAGATCACATCTTTAAGGGAAATGAATCAGACTGAGAAGAGGAAGGATGGCTGGAAGGAGAAGAACAGACTGCCCGTGAAAGAGAGAACAGGGACTGAATTATAGGAGGAGGAGAAGAGATGGTTGTACACCTCTGACAACCGAGAGCCCACGACAACAGGGGAAAAAGAGTGGCCCATTGTCATGACGAACGGGGACAGCATCAGGTCTGAAAAGCTGAGAGACAGCTTTGCTGCAAGAGGGAAGGGATGTCACTTAACAAAGACACAAGAACGAGTCCAACGCCAGCCTTCCTCCCAGGTATCTCCTCCTAAAGTGTCCCAGGAAGCTTATGGAGGAAGAGACTAGCAAAGGGCCTTTTTAAAGGCAAATCATATGAAAAGAAAAAGGAAAACCTGCACAGCAGGATTTTGAAAATGAATATGAAACCAGATTAGTGTTTGTGTGTACGTTACATGTAAAAAAGAAGAGTCATAAAAATACTGGGCTCTACCTCACAAGAACTGTAATCCAGTCAATAATTCCCGAAGGTTTGTTACATGGTGAGTCACCAGGCTAAGTGCTGCCTACAAGCACTTGCCATCTATGTGTATCTAATCAGGGTTAACAGACAAGGCGTGTGTAACAGAAATAACCCTGAACTTGGAGCTAGGATATCAAGTCCTAGTTCAGGCACTTTTTAGCTGTGACTCTGAGGCTGTGATTTCTTTACATGTAAAAAAGAATAGGCTGTGGAAAATTTCTGAAACTACTTTCATTTTAAAAGAAATGATCAAGTAGTACATACCAAAAATGTTGACTAGAGAAATGAGAAAATACACGAAAATAAAAGTTCCAGGTATAACAATAATAATAATAATAATAATAATAATAAAAAAAAATGTTAGGAGCCAAGAGGTCTTGGTGTTTAGTCATTCATTGGCTACATGGCCTTGGTCAGGATCCTTCTGTTTCTAAAACACTGCTTGAAGAGGTGCCCTTTTAACTGAATCTCTGCATATACACTTGAGTATTTTCCTAAAATAGACTCCTGGGAGCAGTCAGTTCAAAGGACATGAGCAGAGTTTGAAAATTAAAAAACAACAACAACAACAACGACAAAATCAAACCGCCCTCCACAAAGGATGGATCAGTCTTACACTACTGCTATCAATGTATCAACTCTGGTATTTTAAATTTGAAACTTGTTGCCATTTTGAGAAGGATCAGATATTTGTGTTAATTTCTCTTAATGTGGTCGCTGGACAGTGAATATTTTTCCTATGTTCACTGCCATACATATATGTATGTATATTGTGATTTACATGGGTCCAAGACGAGACGAGTAAACATAAGAGTGCCAAAGGGGTTAGGCTCAGGGTCTCTGAATAATGTAAATTTCCTTCCCAGCATGGGCTGGTTATCATAGCTTTTGAGGGGAAAACAAAGCATGCTTCAAAGAGTGTAATTTACTTTTAGGCCTGATTTCTGCCAGGAACCACCCAATCCAGTTTAAGGCTGTCTCCAGTATTGTTTCAATTCCTCTCCTTTTTTTGTGCCTCATTAGCCCTCTGAGAGCCTCTTACCATCCTCATTATCCCTTTCACATGTTTGAAAGACTCTGGATGACTTGTGCCCAGCCTTGGGGCCCTCTCAATATCAGTGAATATTTTTCCTATGTTCATTGCCATACATATACACATACGTATGCGTATGTGTATATGTATGGCAATGAACATAGGAAAAATATGTGGGGTTTTTTTAAAGAATCTTTTAAGAAAGTCTTGTACACCCTGGCTGGTGTGGCTCAGCAGATTCAGTGATGGCCTGCAAACTGAAAGGTCACTGGTTCAACTCCCAGTCAGGACACATGCCTGGGTTTCAGGCCAGATCCCCAGTTGGGTGTTGGGAACCATCCTGTCTGGTTTCAGGAACTGTAGCCTCGCCAACAGTCGAGAGGGTCCCAAGGCTGGAGCTAAGAAAGGCGGCCTTGGGAAAATAGGCCACTGGGGAGACAAAACCTGTCTGCCTGGCAGGGGCTCCCTCACATCACCCTGTTTGGCCCCGAAAGATGGCTGGTTAGTCAATGATGGGTAAGACCTCTCAATGGCAGGGGCAACCTGAGACAGGCACAGTTGTATAAGGGGCCATCAAGGGAAGAACTTGCCTGGCTCAGGTTTGAAACAATGCTGGAGACAGCCTTAAACTGGATTGGGTGGTTCCTGACAGAAATCAGGCCTAAAAGTAAATTACACTCTTTGAAGCATGCTTTGTTTTCCCCTCAAACGCTATGCTAACCAGCTCATGCTGGGAAGGAAATTTACATTATTCACAGACCCTGAGCCTACCCCTTTGGCACTCTTATGTTTACTCATCTCGTCTTGGACCCATGTAAATCAGTGTGTTCCTGCCATATGTTTTCTTCAAAACATCATCTATTCTCTGTAAACATTAACACACTGATGTAATGAGATTACCTGTACATTCCTACTACCTAGCCCCACTGATAACCCTTTCAATATAAGCCGTCGGACACAGGGGCTCGGGGCATTCTCCACTAGAGGGACTTGCCCCCGCTTCTCCTGGCAGACAGAGCAATGTCTGGGATGACTTATTTTACTTCCCCATCCGTGACTACTTGGAGCGTACTCTGCAAGACAGAGTGTGCCTCCGCCTCAGTTGGGGGCATGCAAGAGGCAACCGATCCACGTCTCGCATATCGACGTTTCTCTCCCTTTCTTTCCTCCTCCCTTCCCCTCTTGGTAAAGATAAATAAATAAAAATTTTTTAAAAAGAATGTCTTGTGCCTACTCTTGGCCAGTTTTTCTACCGGTGTCCTTTTCCTTGTTATTTTTTAGAGCTTTTTGTATGGTAAGGGTATGGCACTAATCCTTTATTTGTCATATATTTTATGAAATTCTTCCCCATCTTAGGCTATTGTATGTTTTTAGATTTTGCTTATGATAGTTTTTCTTTTTGACATATTGGAATACATCATGTCATTGTGCTTCATTAACAAACTGTAGGTTTATGGCTTTCCTCCGCCGAACAAGTCTAAGGGCTTCATTTTCCCAACAGGCTCAGATGATAGCTAACATTTTTTAGCAATAATGTATTTTTAAATTAAGTGTACAATAGGTATAATATTATTGTATACTTAATAGGCTACAGTATAGTGTAAGCATAACTTATATATGCACTAGAAGCCAAAAAATTTGTGTGACTTGCTTTATTGAACCCACAGTATCTCTGAGATATGCCTGCATATCATTTTAAAGTTTCTATTATTTAAATCTAAAAATCTATTTTAAAATGGTTTCTCATCCTGGTATCAATATTTTTAAAAAAATCATTTCTTAACCCGTGATTAGGTAACTACTCATCTATACGCCTTCTGTACAATTAGATTTTATTTTTTTACAACTAAAATCTGACAATAATGATGAAAATTTTGAACCCAGTTCCCTGAAGGTGAAAATTTCATAAAAGCGGACATGCCAGAGTAGCACCATCTTACTTTCAGCAGACAAACAACCCTTGTACCTAATAGGAAAAACAGAAGTCTTCTGAGGGCCTTTCTTATACTCCACCCCCTACCAGAAAACACTGCCACGCAAACACATTTTGTCCTGCTTGCCTATCTCAGTGGAAAAAGTGCACGCCTTCTTGTTTCATGGTCTAATCCTGTGCATTTCCTTAGGTCTCCTGGGATTTCCCTCTTATCATATACCTTTGATGGCTCCTCTCAAGGAACAATTTCCTCTCAGTTTGTAAATATTCTTGTCATTCCCCTCTGCATAAAGATCCTCTCCACATCCCGTGTTTTCTACTGGTTACTGCCCAGCTTTTTCTTTCCTTTTAAGTCAGCCTCTTGGCGGAGCAGTCCATTCTGACGGCCCTTTCCCTGTGGGCGGGAGACACCCGATTCCTGCTTCCAGGGCTCCACCAAGCCAGCCTCTCACTGTCTTCTGGATTGCCAGGGGCGCTTTTCAGTCCTGACTTAACTTCTCTTTGGCATTTGTCATTGTTGACCTCACCTTTCCAAAAACTTTTCCTATTGACTCTATGACACAACTTTCTCCTGGTTTTCCTCTTACCTTTATGAGGGTGACTTTTCGGCTGGTTTGTTCATTCTTATTCACCTGCGTGTCCGTCACACGTCCTTGGTCCTCACGGCTCTGTGCTCTGCCCACTTGAGAACTACAAGGAGGGAAAGATCAGAAATAAGGAGCCAGTAAGAAAGCTGCTGCAACCAGGCTCTGATCTCAGAAAGCAGCAATGGGAATGGAAAGGGGAGATAAGCGCAAGGACCTGAGAGGAAAACACTGGAGAGACTACCTGAGTGATTATTATATGGAGGTGAGAGACAGGGTGTTGCTTACAATACTGCAAAGACATAAAACTTAGCTGGCTGGGCTCCTCCTTAATCATGAAGAAGGAAGAAGAATAAAACAAATTTAACTACTCTCAGAAAGATGTTTGGAAAAATCAGAATGCTTTAATCAAATTAGATGGAAAAATGTGCGCGCGCGCGTGTGTGTGTGTGTGTGTGTGTGTGTGTAAAAGGATGGGGCGTTCCTTAATGACAAAGAAAAGAATGAAGAAGTTCATGCATAAGAAAGTTGTGATATTCTGACCTGTGGAATGGGGGATGCAGCTTTTCAAAGGGTTCAACAGTAATAGTAAAATGTAAAACAAATATTAGTGGGTGATTCTGTAGTAGTACAAAGTATGTTACAAGAAAGAAAATACAGAAACAGTGTAAAAAATGGAGTGAAATGAAAGAGTGGAAGACAGTATTTCCTTTCTAGGAGATCCAGGAATGGTGGGAGACATCAAAACAAAATTTAAAAAGATGAAAAAATTTCAAAACCAAGTAATAAGGAGAATTAAATAGAGACTGCTATGAACTGAATGTGCTCTCTTATAATAGACAAGTTGAAGCCTTGCCCAAAAGGAATATATTTAGAAATAGGGCCTTTAAGGAGGTAATTAAGTTTAAATGAGGTGATAAGGGTGGGGCTCTAATCTACAGGACTGGTGTCCTTATAACAGGAAGAGACACCAGAAATCTTTCCCTTCACACATGCACCAAGGAGAGGCCACGTGAGTACACAGCAAGAAGGTGGCCACCTGCAACCCTGCTGGAACCCTGATCTTGAACTCACAGCCCCTGAACTGTGAAAAGATGAACTGCTGCTGTTTTAGCCTCCCAGGCTCTGATACTGCTATGACAGGTCTAGGAGACTGGTACAGAGACGTGCAAGTAAGTAAAGTGAAGTCTAATGACTGAGAAACAAAAGGTCAGAAATTATATAGATGAAAAAACAAATAAAGTATAATTAAGGAAGGAGTAGAATGATGAGTGAGACAGGAAAGGTTGAAAATGAATATGAAACCAGGTTAGTGTTCTAAATAAATAACTGGTAATTTACAATCTTAATCAATCTGAAGTCCACCCTTTCCCCCTTGTCTCCAGGGAACCTATGCTGTGGCACTAAAGTAAAACTCAAATGTCTGTGAGGGCCACAGCGATCTGGTCGGCAAGTGGACGAAGTGGTGCGCGGCCTGGGCCCAGCTGATGGGTGCCAGGGAAGAAGGTGGAGTTGTACACGGTTTCCAAGAGAAGTCAAAAATCTGCATTTACGTAAAATATTTTTATATTTGGACAACTAATAAAATTACACACAGGCACAGTGGACCCAACCAAGGATACCAGGAAAGATAGCTTGAAAATACATAAAACATCTGGGCTTTTGCTTGTAGCCAAGATGAAGTAACTGGAACCAAATGTACCTTCAAGCCTAAAACAACCACAAAGACTGCACAAAATATATGAAGCAACAGTTTTCAAGATACAAAATCAGAGGCAACAAAGAATAGTTCCCCAAAATATGGAAAATAAAGGAGATGAGCTCTAAAATAGACCTTCAGTGTGTCTAGGCCATGGCATGAAACCTGCATGAAACCTGCATGGAACCTGGGAACAGCCTGAGGAGAGTGGAGAGTCTGGGAAAACCAAAGTGGACAGAGCTCACAGAACGCCGGAGAGGAGACAGCCTCAGAGTGAGAGAACCTGAACATCTGCAAAGGGTTCCCTCCAGGCATCTGGCAGAGCACTGATGAGCGCGTGTATCTGAGGAAATTCAGAACCGTGCCTGTTCCCATTAGCCAAGTTGGAAAACTTCGCCACTCAGAGGGCACTGGGCAGAAGTGACTTGTGTCAGCAGTGAGGAATAAATAGCCCTAGATTAAACGTGGTTCCAGTCCCACCTAACAAGCCTTAAAAGCAAGACCTGAAAGTACCACACAGTTTTCTAGCAGCTTAATTACATTCTCGAGCACAGCTTAAGAATATTTATGGGAATATAAAAATATCTAGCAGTTAAAGATACAATTTTTGACATGTGGCATCCAATAAAAATTTACCAGGAGAGGGGTCAAAAAAAAGGGGGAAGGGAATACAACCTAAAACACAGAAAAAAAAAATGAAACCAACCCAGAATGACACAGATGTTAGAATTATAAGACAAAGGCTTTATAACAGTTATTACAACTGTATTCTATCTGCTCTCAAGGTAAAGGAGAAACGTGGAAGACCTTTAGAAGACCCAAGCTGAGTTTTTAGACATGAAAATTAAAACATCTGAGATGAAAAACATTCTGGATGGCATTAAAGGCAGATTAGACATTGCAAAGAAAAGATTAGAAAACTTGGAAGACATAGCGCTAAAACTATCCAAGATGAAACACACAGGTAAAAGAGAATTAAAAAAATACACCAAGCTTCAGTTAGCTGTAGGACATCTTCATATGGCTTAACATACATGTAATTAGAATCTTCAAAGAAGAGCAGAGAAACAATTGGGTACGGGAAAAAAAGGCAGAAGAAAAAGTGGCCCAAAATGTTCCCAATTTGATGAAAATGATAAATCTACAGATCCAAGCTCAACTAACCCCTAGAGCAAGAAACACAAAGAAAAATCACAACAAAGCATATCATAATTTAATTACCCAAAACTAGTGATAAAGAAAATATAAAATTAAAAAAAATTATTTTTGATTTTAGGGAGAGGGGAAGGGAGAGAGAAAGAGAAGGAGAGAAAAACACCGATTCGTTACCTTCTGTAGGTGCCCCAACTGGGCCTGAACCTGCAACTTAGGCAGGCATGTGCCCTAACTGGGAAGCCAACCTGCGACCTTTTGCTTTGTGGGACGACACTCAACCAACTGAGCCACACTGGCCAGGGAGGTTGGTGATAAAAAGAAATCTTCACAGTAACCAAACTGGGAGAAAACATGTTGTGCACAGAGGAACATATTACTTGTTGGGAAAAAATGCAAGTGAATGGAATTGTATTCCAGATGAAAACAGTATTCAAAAACAAAGGTGAAATAGACCTTTTCAGACATGCAAAAAAGTAAAGGTATTCATTTTTAGCTAGCCATTACTACAAGATGTGTTAAAGGGAGTTCTTCAGGCAGAAGGAAAAGGATAGATGGAAATACGAATCTCTATAAAGGAATGAAAACCATTGGAATTGTAACAAAATAGGCAAGTATGTAATATTTTAATATTTTCCATCTCTTCAAAAAATGGTAGTTTAAGCAAAAATAATAGCAATGCAGTGAGGGGCTTATAGCATATACAAAAATAAAATATATGACTATAGCAGCATGAAGGTCAGGAGAGAAAAAATGGAAGTATACTATTTTAAAGCTCTTGAAGACACACTGCGCGATATGGATTTGTATTATAAACCCTAAAGAAATCACTAAAACAGCAAAAGAAACATATATGTGTGTGTACGTGTATATATATCAAATTTAAAGAACTACAGGAAAGCATGAGAACAATGTCTCACCAGAGAGTATCAATAAAGAAATAAAAATTACAAAAGGAAGAAGTAACACCAAATCTACTCAAAATCTCCTAGAAAACTGAAGAGATGGGAATACTTCGTAACTCATTCCGTGGCTAGTTTACCCTGGTACTAAAACCAGACTACAACATAACAAAACAAAAACAACAACAACAACAAATAAAAAAACTATAGATCTGTGTTCCTTATGAAAAAAATGCAATAAAATTTTAGCAAATCAAGTAAAATCAAATCAATTTGTAAAAAGGATAAGTGGGGTTTAGCCTATGAGTGAAAAGTTTGGTTTAGCACTTAAATAGCAATGTAATTTACCATACTAGAACATTTGAAAAGTCATGTAATTATTTTAACACACAGAAAAAGCATTTGACAAACATCCAACATCCATTCCTGATACAAACTCTCAGCAAACTAGAAAATGGAGGAAACTACCTGAAAAGGGCATTTATAACAACAACAACAAAAAAACCCCTCTTATAATAATATAATTAATGGTAAAAAAGAAGAAGACTTAATGTTTCCCTACCCATTTTCTATAAGATTAGGAAGAAGGTAAAAATGTCTACTCTCATAATTTCTATTCAACAATGACCAGGAGGTTCTAGCCAGTGCAGTAAATCAAAGGAAAAAAAAAAAAAGAAATAAAAGGCATCCAGATTAGAATGAGGAAATTAAGCTGCTTTTTATTTGCATGACTATATAGAGAAAATTTGGTGAAATCTATTAAAGAGCTATTAAAATTAATGAGAGTTTAGAAAGGCACACAATACAAGTTTAATCAATATACAACTATTTGTAGCATTTCTATAAGTTAACAACAGACAACTGTAAATCAAAATTGAAAAACCATTTACATATGAAATATGCAGGAAAAAGTCAAATATGTGTTAGAGCTATACACTAAAAACTGAAAGTGCTAAGAGGAATTAAAAAAGACTGAAATAAATGGAGAACTATATCATGTTAGTGAGTCAGAATACTGAACATTGCTAACATGTCAATTTTCCCCATACTGATCTGAAAATTCAAGGCAATACCAACTGGAATTCCAGCAGGCTTTCTTGTAAAAATCAACAAGCTTATTCTAAAATTCATGCGGACATACAAAGGACCTTAAAAAGCTAAACCAATTTTAAAAGACAAAGTTGGAGGACCCATAACATGATTTCAAGACATACTACAAGACTGCAGTAACCAGGGAGTGTGTTACTGATACAGAGACAGAGAAATAGATCAAATCAGACAAGGTCCAGAAAGAGACCTACACACATACTAACAACCAATTTTCAATAAAGGCCATTCAGTTGAGGCAGTACTGTTTTTCAACAAATGGTGCTGGAACAAATGTAAACAAAACAAATCCCTCTTATCCAAACTTCACAGTATATACCAAAAATTAAAATAAAATAGGTCACAGACTTAAAAATAAAACCTGATAGCATAAAGCTTTCACAGGAAAACATAGGAGGAAACTTTTGTGACCCTGGGCAAATGTTTCTCAGATACTACACTAACACATGATTCATAAAATAAAACATTTGATAAATAGGACTTCGTTAGAAGTAAAAGTCGCATTTCAAAAGCTGCTATTAAGAAAAAGAATAAAAAGGCAAAACAGAGACTGAAAGAAAATATTTGCAAATTATTTATCTGATGAAGAACATATTTAGAATATATGTGATGCCATCCACTTGACAATAGATGGTTCTGATTTCAGAAACACCGGTGTGTGTGGAGAGTAAGTGGCCAAAAAATAAAGAACTTAAAAAAAGTTGCAAGTAACAGGGTATTTTAGTTGAAAAAGGTAAACTATAGTCTTCTTATGAAGACAAGAAGAAATTAAAGGAGCCTGGAATAGGATTATTATAATGAAAAAAATATATAGTGGAGGAGTGATAGACTATGTGGAGTCAGTTTATCACTATGCTATATTAAGAAGAGATTTCACTCATTCATTCAGTTCACATTTGAGTTCCATATTTATAAAGGACTTTAATATGACCATGTAAACTAACTTCTTTCTGACTCAAATTGTTAATAATAAAAGATTCTCTGTTTAAAAAAAAACCCAACAAATTCAAAATGAAATATACTAGTAACTAACTAGGGAACACCAATACTATTGGACTTATATGGATTGTGACATATTTACAGAAGCTTCCTTAGAAACGCCCACTTGGGCAGCAGATAATAACAACCTAGAGGCATGAGATGGAAAACTGAAAGTTCAAGACTTTCAAGAATATGCCTTTGTTAAACTAACCTAGAGAAGTTTCTCCTTCATATCTTAAAAACAGTGCAGCTTTACTAAAATATGTATAAATAGTTTGCACAGAAGTGACTGACATTTCTAAAAAATAGAGGAATAAACAAGACAAGAAATTCAAGTAGAAAGTTATAAAAGGCAGTCCTTTGTGACTCATTTTGGTCAAGCAACTAATAATTAGATGGTGCAAACTGAATGGCAATACTGCGAAGAAACCGCCCCCATCCCCCAAAAAAGGCCTCTGTCCATTTACTTGAGTACAATGGACTCACATAAGTAAATTAAAGAAATAAAGAGATGACTTCTTTTGCACACACTGGGCTATAAATAGTATTCCCACCTTCCACTAGCTTACAAGTTTTTAAGTCATGAGAAATGTATCTCAGTTCATCCTTACTTCTAAGAAATTACAAGTGTAGGGAAAGCCCAAAGGCTTTAGATGAACTAGAGCACTTAGACATATCTGAACTTCTCTTGAAAACTTATTTTCAGAAGCTCCTTAAACATTCTATGTTTAAAAGGAGAAGCTGAGCTGCTCTGACAGCCTTGAGAAGCTGGGATGTTTTGTGAAGCTTTTTGGACTTGAACCTGGAGAGTATGGCAAGGATCTCGCTCTCACCTGAAATTGGGTATCCAACATAGCCAGAGTGACTACTGTCTTTTGATTACCTATTAGGTAAAAAGTTTTAAAAATGTGTTCAAGAATGCCAAGACCATTGTTCCCATAATGTATTAAATGCAGTCATTTTATGGTTGTTGAAATAGAGCTTATCCTTCCTGTTCCACTCTATTTTTTGTATGTGCAATCTCTTGTTGAGTATAGTCTCCTCATGGTCAATGATTGTATTATTAACTACTATGTAAAATCTCAATTATTCAGATTGGAATTGAAAACATACCTGCCAGATAAAACAAAAGCAAAAAACGGAAAGATCTGGGATGTATATTTGCACCTTTTGACAGGCAAAAGGGAAGACACGAAAGAACTGCAGATGAGGAAGTAAGAGGACTTGCGATCTGAGGCTAGGTCTGCCATCGAGTACTACCTGCAGCGACTTGAGACAAGCCGCAGCCTCCCAGATCTTGTTCCTCCTTATGGAAACGAGGGTTAAGGCTCCCGGTTTGCATCTCTCCCAGGGAAATGGTGAGAATCAAATGTGACAATGTCAGTGACTGAGCTCTGAGGCGATACAGGGCTATATATAGTTATATAATTATTAACAAATTTGCTTTCTCAAAAAGAAAGATTTTAAACTTACGGCAAAATGGTATCTTAACAAGGAGCCTGTCAACACTGGATACAGTTTAAAACACATCCCCTTCCCCTCCACCCTTCCCGGTCTGGACACTAGGAACATAGGTCTTGGTTCAAGAGCTGACACAAAGGCGCGCCTGTGCGATTTGCACAAGACCTTTCCTATTAGTTTTCTTGACTATAAAACAGAGGACTTTAAAATCCTATAAAAAGAATTTCTAGGGCATCTTCTCAGTCATGATTCAGTGACTATTTGAAATATCACTTAAAAACGAGGCTGATCTTTTATCTGTAGAATGAAATATTATCTTGTGAAATAATGTATGCTTTCATTTGATAATTCCTGTAAATTAGACTGTAATCTGAGTTGGGATTTTTGAACCGGAAGACATTATTTTTCACAATGTCAAAGTGTGTAGCAGGGTTAACTTGAACAAATATTTTCTGAAGAAAATTCAGCAGGGATTATCTGTGTGCATATGTGTGAAAGCATGCACTCATGTGTTTTGGGGGGTGATGGGAGGGCATGACAGACACCTAAGCTGTTAGAGGCGTGTTCAAGTCATGTGATAGTTTGCTAGTGATATGTGAATATAAAGTTTGGGCTTAAAATCAGGTACAAAATTATTTGCAATGATAAAAATTGAGAAATTTTTTGGTGGATGTTTTGATTTAATTTTTTGAAGTAAAAGAGGGATTTTCTATTTAATGTATTAAGTGATACAGCAAGTCCAAAATAAATATACAAAACTTCCTAGAGATCTTTTAAAATAAATAACTCAAAATAAATTGCTGAAATACATTAGGTATTTGTAGAAAATATACAATGCTAGTGTTCTAGGTATTAGCATTTTTCCTTTAATGCCTGAAAAAAGGGCATTTCATAATATTTTACCACATATTGTACTTGTTTTCAGTTAATACATTTCAAAAGTAACTCAAACAAAAGTAAATGACAAAATAGGTCCATAAAAACAAAAATTTGGTGTGAGCCCTGGCTGATAGCTCAGTTGGGTTAGAGCATCATTCTGATATGCCAAGGTTGTGGGTTCAATCCCCAGTCAGGACACATGCAAGAAGGAACCAATGAATGCATAAATAAGTGAAAAAACAAACTGATGCGTCTGTCTGTCTCTCTCTTCCTTGCTCTATCCCTCTCTCAAATCAATACTTCAAGAGAGATTATGTTCAAGAAATTTTAGTGTGATATTTTAATTTAATTTCTTGTAAATATTCATATACATCCTCAACATCCAACCATTAAAATATTCTCTTTGCCCTGACTGGTGTGGCTCAGTTGGTTGGGTATCATTCCACAAGGTGAAAGGTTGCTGGTTCAATTCCTGATCAGGGCACATGCCTGGGTTGTGGTTTCAATTCCGGTTGTGGAATGTGTGAGAGGCAATCAATTGATGTTTCTCTCTCACATCAGCATTTCTCTCCCTCTCTTTCTCCCTCCCTTCCCCTCTGCCTAAAAATAAATAAATAAAATTTAAAAAAGTATTCTCCTCAAACCAGCTATCAACTTTTAAAAATCAATTATCTGAAGTTTAATTCAGAGTGTTTTGAAAAGGAAAATGAAAAACTGTCATTAATCAAAAACAAACAACTATTTATTCCAGCAAATTATTTAGAAAGAAAAGATGCTTACTGTGTCATAGATTCTGGGCTCCATCTGAACTCTGAAGGCTTGTCCTTGTTGGCTGACTGTTGTGAAAGAAGAAGAGAAAAACAAGCAGTAAGTCAAAAATTAGAGAAGGCAACACAGGTAATATTCACATGCTGAAAACCCACCAACTTGCTGGGTGAGGAGAGAGCATGGCTGTTCTCAACGTATTCCAATAGTTCTCAGATTGCTGAAACACTCTATAAAGAAAGCCAGCTTCCAGGTGTGAGGCAAAAGGCGTCATACTGAACCAGCCAAAAGTAATGTGGGAATACTACATGGTGTATTACTTAAGTTCCAAATTTACCTTTCAGCATTGCATCTTGACTTTGTAATCTTTTTAGTATACTCTGTATTTTCATGGTATAGTCACTGAACTATATGTAAAATGTAAGATGTGAGAGCTCTTTAAATCTTCTAAAAAAAATTGTTCCAAGTGTCTGTTTTATTAATGGCACCTCTGTGAGAAAAAAAAGTACGCACGCTCAGTTGTGCTGAATTATATGCTAAGTGTTAGATGGTTCCTCTAGAATATGAACATTAATTCCAAATCAAAGTATACCATGGGTAAATGGTGTCTGATACAGACAGACTTTTATAAATCAACCTATTGTTGCCATAAAATAGACTGCAAATGTTTTCTACAGATAATTGCATATTATGAAAAGGATCCATTTAAAATTCACATGAAAATATAAATTGTTACTATGTTAAAGTTTTAAATTTTGTACAAATTGAATTATATACAAATGAGAGAAATATACCACATCTATTTATTTAAATAAAAAACTCAGAAAACAAAAACCAAAATGAAAGAAAAGGAGTATGATCTTCTCTTTCTGTCTTAACTGGTTTGAGTAACTACTCTTTTCCCAATCTTATCTCTACGGAAGCTTGTTTTTTTGTCTTTTTAGATTTCCTCTGCAGTGAGATTCTTGCAGGATCATTTCTCAGCAAGTTTCGGCACTGAGTATTTTAAAGAAGTATTACTTTTCTCATCAGAAAGACTTCAAAGGGGTATTGTGTTTTTCAGGACCATAATTATGTGATATTATTGCTAGCTGCATAGCATTAAATCAAGCACATAATAAAATAAGAATTAAAGAACAAGATGGCTTAGTAGTGAAAGGTTGTTGTAAGTAACCCAATTTCACAGAAAACAAAAGAATCAACGACAAACACCTTGGTTTTTTCCTAACAGTGAAGATGATCGGACTCAGTTAAAATGTGTTTGGGGAAAAAAGTATAAAAGTATTGAAAATTCAAACTCAAGGAGTAATTCAGATTGCAGAATATTTTACCTGCCTTCAACCCAATAAGAGCAAGAAGTTAACAAAACCATCAAACCTATCTCAAAAAGCATCAATTATAACAGAGTTTCTTCAGTTTTTTTTACCAGGCTTATGAAATAAATTCCAAACATAGCCACCAAATTAAAGGTAGGATGCTGTATTTTTTTTACATGGTCTAAGTGTTACTTTTATCTCTTTGCCCATGGCAAGACAAGCATCTTACCATAAATATATTTATATATGAAACTACTTGATTAACAAAAAACTTAACATAATGGCTCTAATTAGAATCTGAACTACTCCAGAGGGTGAGGAGAGGGAGGTGAAACAGAATTATAGATCACTGAGACAATGTTACTTTTAATTACTTGTGACCTTGACAAATGAGTGTAACATTACCATGTGCAGGTCTTACCAAACCTTTTAATAGTCTGTTCACGTGAAATGGATGCTGTAATGTCCTCAGAAAGTTGGTCTTACCGAGGTTAAACACTGTCCCTGCCATCTTTCCTAGTATATTACTGCATTACTGTAACTGTGTATCCAAAGGTGCATGATGCAAAGGTGGCTGAACTTGTCTTCAAATCCTATGAATCCCAAAGTAGGGTATACACATTACAAAGTTTTAATACTTATTTGTAAAAGGACACGTATTTAATTAGGACCAATACTTCACTTCTAAACACCTTTACTCACTCATTCCTTGGTCTCAGCAGCAGCGCGCCATATGGGTAGTTACTCATGGAGGCAGAAGGAAGGGGAAGAAGGAGGTGTCTCTGTGAGCTGTTTTGTTTTATTTTATCCTTAAACAAAAAAGCCCCCAAGGCTACGACAGCATCAGCCCATACGCACCCCCCACCATCAACAAGGCCAAGGAGCATGACTGCCCTTCTTTCCCTCCTGTCCACACACACCTCTCAAGATAGTTGTTTTGTGACTTCGTTTCTTTCTCATGGATACCTTTGATTGGAGAGGAGGGGATGAAGAGAGGAACATGAGCAAAGCAAAAGAGATGAATGAAAGGACCAGCATTACAGATTCTTGCTTCCCAAAACCTTATAACATCTTGGAGGTCCTTTTACATTTAGATGCAGTGAGACTAAAATGAAAGGGATGATTAATGGAGTGATTTTAAGTGCTTCTGCTGATTACATGGGAATTAGCCAAGAAGAAACAACTCATAAATAGCTTTGCAAAAGAGAAATGGGCCATGCAAACAACTCACCCAAATATTTCTTATAAACTTGAAGAATGAATGTAAAATTAAGTGTTCAATCCATGTTTTAAGTAGCACACCAGCTTTAAAGAAGGCAAATTTGACATAGCATAGTTCTACTTTTACATGCTGTTTATATAATCCTGATATCTATTTTTCTATATAATTAATATCCATAACTTGTTTATATCCACTTTGTAGGGGTTTTTGTTTTGTTTTGTTTTGAGAGAGAGAGAGAGAGAGAGAAACAACAATCAGGGATGACAGTTAAATTTTAGTCTTGGTTCTGTCATTATCTCTCCATGTGGCCTGAGTAAGCCACTTCTCTTGGGATTCTGTTTTATTACTTGAAAAACAGCAGGGGCTCAGAATGAAAGCACAACTACTACAGTACCACTCTCGGATTTTACAGATGAGGAAATGGAGGCCCAGAGTCACAAGGTTACAGAAGGAGCCTGAAGGTTACGCTTTTATTTTTCAAAATGATTTAATAGCAAAATAATTTTTCAGTACCATTTTGTTTGAAAACCTCATATACAAACACTTGAAGGTAGGGTTACTCTATGTGAAGCAAGGTTTGGTGGCCTGGCAAACCTGGCACCCCCCAGCACCCTGAGGAATAGGGCTCTCTCTACAGGAGAGAGTTTAAAACTGGACTAGAGAAGTTCTTTGGGTTTCCTCTATTGCTAAAATTCTGTTTCCAGGAGTACAATTTTACAATTTTAAATATTCATACGAGTTTAATGTTGATTCTTTGATTTTAGAATTTATTATTATGCAATTCATATTTGATGCTAAATCCTCCAATTATAATGCTTCTCCTTAAGGACAAAATATTCCTTTGCCTTAAGATGCAGTTTCTACAAATATACCAAAAAGGGAAGGCTTTCATTGTGATTCATCATTTGTAGTGTTGGATGCCAACTGTGCCAATTAAACAACACACATGCTTATGGAACGCCACTCTACCAGTGAGGTCCTGTGCTGGACTCTCAGGGACACAGAGCTGGGCAGACTCAACGAGCTCATACTCTAACAGAGACAAGTATGGGTACAGCAGACACGGCAGAGGAAGAGACGTTATGATAAAGGTGAAAAGGAAATGTGTGGAGAAAAAGAATAGAAGGCTCAAATTGTAACTGGAGACTTTTGAGAATAATTTAGAGGTGGAACATTTAGTTAGATCTTAAGGGATAAATTGAAATTCTGGTAACTGGAGAAGTACCAAACACTACACAGTTCAAGAAAACAGGGTGAGCAAAGGTTGAGGGATGTGTCTGTAGGGCAGCATACCAGAGCCTGTTTTGGAGGATGAGGAAAAGCAGGTCAAACTTCTTTTTGATCTTTGAGGGTGGGATCTAAAGAAATTTGTGAGATTTGGACTATGTAGACAAATGTAGAGCCCACTGTGATTTCTGAGCTGGAACGTCACATGACTTGATTTCTGTTTTACAAAGGTATGTCCAGCAGGCAGGTAGAAGGCACATTACAAGTTGGAGGATGCAGAGACTGCTGTAGGCAGGGACCGGGAGGCCGTTTCATAGCAATATCCTTCCCAAGCTCTTCCCCCACAGCTGACACTAAAAACCTGGTGTCCTTTACTGACTCCTATCCTTTGTCCTTTTTATTCTTTATACTTTATCTTTTACTTTACTTATCTTTACTTATCTTTATTTTAAGTTTATCTTTTACTTCCCTATTCCCATGGATTCAACCAGCATGCTTGGAATGACTTCCAAATCAATACAATGAATTCAGGTCTCCAATTTTCTTCATAAGGATTCGGCAATTGTTAGTTTTCACTAAATCTTATAAACACAATAGTTTTTCTAAATACACACTTGGATCTAAAAATTTTCATCCAAAGTACCTTGCAAGTTTTCAAATTTTTCCTGAGTCTCATAGAAGCCTTCAAGAGATCTGCAATTGGCTGCTGTACATATACAGCAAACTTCACGTGTCTCAAAACTGAAGTTCTTCTATATTCTTATACACAGAGATGTTCAAACTAGAAACCTAGATTTCTCCTTTTCCTTCTTATGGATTTAGTCACCAAATCCTATTTTCTCAATCTATTTGGCTGGGGTTACTGCAACAGCCCTTCCTGGTCTTACTTCCGCTAGTACTGCTTTTGCCCAGTCTTTTGAGAGCTTTTAGAATGAGCTTTTGAAATAACCAATCTGATGTCACCTCCCATGCTTTACATCCTTCATGGCTCCCTACTGCCTTGAGGATAAAATCCTGCACCTACACCTTCTGTACAAGGAGCTTCTTGATGCTGTCCACTTGTTCAGGTTCAGTTCTGCTTTAACTTTGCATCCTAAGCCCCAGCATGATGAGACATTTGTGGTGGCCCAAGTGTATCAGGCCTTAGTATGTCTGCTCGGTTTGCCTCGAATGTCCTTTCACCCATAACACTCAACTTAGAAATGAACTTCTCTGGAAAGCCTTTCCTGACCTCATTAAGCTTAGGTCAGGGACCATTTCTATGTGTTTTCCTAGCATCTAATGTAGAACTCTATCAAAAACACTA